AATAATTACTTGTCATCCATTTGATCATCGATATAAATGAGTGAGTATTCTTTGATACTGTTTCCTTACAAACAAATTGTCGTTTATTAAATAAATAAAAACACAGATCGTTCGTTCGTTTTATAAATATAATGGTACCATTTTTAACATAATTCTTTATCAAAAGAATAGAATAATTGCATTTGAAAATGTTGCCTAAAATTTTAAGTATATTTCAAGAAATCCCGAGAAAATTAGCAGTAACCGACACAAAGAAAATGGATGATATAGAAATGTCAGGAGTTAATAGCCTAAGGAAATAATAACATTATTTTGACACTAAATTCTGTCTCATTCAAGCTAAAGAGGTAGGGAGAGAAGAGACGGACGGAAAGACAAAAGTGACAAGACGAAATATGGAAGATTTTGCAAAAATACATTTCCATAAAAAATCCAAAGTTAAAAAAAAAGTCCTACAGAAAGTTTGCTGATGAGATAAAATTTGATTTAATTTAAAATTTGCAGACAAAAAGTCTTTGCATATTTCAATTTTATGCCTAACCATTTATAAACAATCAATCACCATCTTTTCTTTTTCCATTGTTTATTTGTTGATTTCAATACTATAAATTAATTTTATGACAACTATCCTTTGATTGCTATCTTTCGAACCAAAAAAATAATTTTAGTTTTATATTAATATTGGAATAATTTAGGACTTAAAGGTAAATTTTGTTGCTAGTATAAGTAATTCGATTAAGTGAAAGAGCTGTTGATAATTTCTTTAAGAATTTGAAATAATTTCATCACTTTCTTAAACCAAATTGTAGATTAAAATAAGCAGTAAGGTGATTAAATCAGTTTTTGATCATCTTTTCATTTCAAATTTCATGAAAATATGAAATTGATGGTTGATAATAACTTTGAAAATGAGTCAGGCTGAGTTACGTTGAGTTGATTTTGGTTGCAAGAGATTGAGTTGAGTTGGGGTCAGGCTGAATTGCGTGAGTCGATTTGGGTCAGGCTGAGTTGCGTTCAGTGAAATTGAAGTGAGCTGTATTGAGTCCACACCGGATTGTAAAGTCTGTATTGAACATAATGAATTAACCGATTTACAATAGGGTTTATATGCATTAGAGAGTGGGAATGGTTTAAAATAAACGTTTAAAAAAGGGGGTATTCATTTAGATACAAAGGAAACTGTAATGGTCCAGTTACATAATAAGCGTTGTAACAAGATCAGATGGGAAGGTTAGCATGTAAATTGGACGTCCTTTATCATTAAAATAAAGATGTGAATTTTCGTTAGACAAAGATAACAAAAGAAACGTATGGGAGATAATTTTAAAGAATATAAATTGGTGAATGAATGCAGTGATGAATCATTAGAAATATTCTAAGCATTTAATGTATAATAAAATTCTTTCGATTTTTCCGACAGTTACTATTGCGGAAGTTATTTGTTTTCTTAATAATGATGTTCTTGTTGTGTTATTTGGGACAGACAAATATTTTTGATAATGGTTTTGTTGATTTGCATAAAATTAGTCGTTATCTTTGTTATGGAACAATTACTGGATAATATGGAAAACGAAGATGATTGCTAAGTTGTTCTTAATTGCTTACATAACGGATTTTTTAAAAACACTTTGAGAAGTTAAAACTAATTGAACCCAAGTTGATTAGAGTGTACAAATGTCCACATATTTACAATATGATGACTTGGATACAAGCTTGATTATCAAACGGAAAGTGATTATTCCTACTTTGTCCAACTTTCTTTCTTTAGCCATGTTGGACCATATTACTAAGTCTGAAGTTTTTCAGTTACTTCTCAGTTTCCTATAGTAGCCAAACATACAGTGTTATGTTCGCTTGGAATATGGCACAGTGAAAATTTTGCCTTTCGTATCTCTTCAACTCGACTCTGGAATATTTCGGAATTAGTTTCGAATAACTTGCACATTTTGCCTCAAGTTCTTACTCCGGTGAGTATACCCAAAAAGCTCTCCGTTCTCTAATTAATTGATACGAAAAAAAAAGCAAAAAAACAAAGATTTCGCTCCAAAATTTGTAACACTCGAATGAAATCAAAAAAATTTAAATTGAATTTCAACATTTTCTCGCTCCTTTCTTTTGAACGTTGACAGTCTTTCTATTTTATTTTCAGTATGCGACATAAAGAGAAAAGCACAAGACTAATTCTTTTTAAAGTAAAAATTCGATAATGAATATCATTTCGTAATCGACTTCAACTTATATTGTTTTTCTTGGAAAAAAAACTTTTTAATATATTCTCTAAACATTTCTTTTTAATATATTCTCTGCACATTTCATTTTCTTGCCGACGATATTAGCAAATGTATCGCGAGGTGATTGTTGGAAAGTTATTTTGGATAGGGACTATATCATATTATGCTGTTGCTTGTCTTCATGTTGCGACGTGATATTCCCTTCCACACATGCATCCGTAATTCATCCTTGATCAGATGATAAAATGATAAATCGCTGATCTCACGCGACCATTACAAATTTTCTATACATTTAAAAGGACTTATGATTATAGATATTATCGACCAGGTATGATGTTAAATCTTGATAGCAACATTTCTTCCACTAATTAGAAATAATATATTTAATAAAAATGCACTCCATTAAAATGCAAATCAATTAATGAACTGGTAATTCATTGACACTACACACCACTTAACGTAATATAACTTAATGAGCATAATAAGCATTATATTTAATTGCTTGACAAAGTGCATGCAGTATCATTTTGTAACCAGAACTGCACTATAAGTAAAGCGTAATAAAATTTTTAACACGGTAACACCGTGGTATCGATAAAATAGTAGCAGCATTTCATCGACTATAAACATTAACGAATATTTTCAAAGTACTTTTGTTCCACAATCGATATTTAGCGGTAAATTGATGTCATTGAACGAAATAATTGTTTGGGTAAGTTCGCCAATATCATTTTACCAACCATACCGTCTATGATCCGTCACTACTTAAATTATATTCTATTATTTTGTGAATTATGTTCTCTTTAGCATCTAATTCAGTGGAAATGCTAAAGTAAACGTTGAACTTTAACTCGAGTTTTAATTCCATATTTTTATCAATTTCATATTTTTAATTCCATATTTTTATTAAGAAATTGTTACCATTCGTTTGTAAGCTTCTCATGTAATGCCAGTTGAAGATCAATATAACAAGTCTGCAAGTAATTTTCGCATTATTCCCTCAAAAGATTTCATTTCAAATATTTAACTACACATTTACTGAGCAGTAATCATATTTAAATATAACTTAATATAACAGAAGCAGCGTGAGAAAAACCGTATAATTCGCTTTTGCTGTCATTTCTAAGAATGCAACCCTTCCTTAGAGGAAATGGAAAATGCTCAAAAACCTCTTACCCATCTAAGACATGCAACAATTCCCAAGCAATTGTAGACGCAGCAAATAAAGCCCATTTATCGGTGAGAAAACGTGATCCATTATTAAAGACAATAGCACATCCAATTATCGCAAGCCTGCCAATACTTGACTGGAAATGAATAAGTAAGTAATTTATGGTTAAATGATGAACTATTTTGGGCTGAAGTAATTGTAATATTCATCACAACCTATTTTTTTAATTTAATTATCCACCCAATAATTCCAATATTTGTGTAACTTACCTGTTTAAAAAAGAATATTTCACGTTTACGGTTTGCAGAACGTACCATCACTTGATTCACTTTCCTTGACTGTAAAATGTAGTAAAAATAATTCCCGTACTATAACCATAGATTATGTTCAAGGTTTATTGAGAGACATATTTACTTAAAAGTTTCAAATAAAATTCGATATTTAATTTGTCAAACCTTAAAAATACATTCATTCCGAACAGTTACTTCGTTTTGGTTCATAGCATACATTCGATGCTTTTAAGGAAAATTGCCTTATATTTTATGGAAACATTCCAGGAATTGGGCCATACAACCAATTAATTGAACTATTAATTAGAAGCTATTATTGTAAATAAATGATCAAATAACTGCGAATCGTAACTTTATTGTATTTTCTAATCTTGAGAAGCGTCACAAAATCAATGCATGCTGCTATGGTCAAACTTATAGTAGTGAACGTTGGGTCGAACAATGCAATGATTTGACCACAAGTGGTGTTAGTGTAGCTCCAACGAAAATCCAATTCCGCATTAAAAACGACGGCACATGGTTCTATAACTTACTGGTTGAAATCCATTTAAAATTCAGAACTTCGATTCCGACAAATGAATATCTTCACTGATAATTTTTATGATTTTTTTATTTTTTAAATAACTCACCTTCACTAAGACAAACATACAAAAACTTTACCAAAAATGTTCGGAAAACATGGTACAAATCCAAGGAAATAAGAAATAATTCCTGCACGGCGAGCATT